TAAAATTTCTGATTGTAGTATACATCGTACTCCCAGCCTCCTCCGGGTAGCTCAGCGACTCGAGCTCTGACTAATTCCCCATCCGCTGGTATTTGGGACCCAAATAAAATATCAAAATTTTCTAGTTCCTGGGCTCCTTTTAGTCCTCTTGTGTTCACATATACAACATCTCTACGATAAATTGAAGCTACTTGAATGAACGCGAGTTGTTCATTCCGGAGCTGTTTATGTACCTGAACAAACTTGGTGGCCATTGTACTGGCCTTAATCCATCCATGATTGGTTTCTGCTGGAAAATCTACATTAGGTAGATGCAATATTGGCTTATACTTTCCATTAACTATAACTCTTTTAAAAGCGCTTACCTGAACGCTATCGCCAGTTGCAAAATCATCATTAGACATACGCTCAAACTGCATCAGTACAGGAAATATAGTATAATTCTGATAAGTTTGTTCGTCATTTAAATCTAAAATCAGAATAATAAAGTATTTTTGAACCTGGGTCACCACATGCATTCGAGGTTGATTTAGCACTTCTTCTGATCCCCAGTCGACTCGTTTGGGTGTTTGAGTGATTGGACGAAATTGAGTGACGTCTACGTTCAATGGCTTGGGTACATGAGTCATTTTGTTTTCTGCTTGAAAAGGAATTAAGCGAGAGAATAAAAGAGGAGAAAATATTTTTAGAACAGAAATGAATTTTTAATTGGTCAGTCAGTGACCAAAATGAACAGTAGCAGAAGGAATATGAAAATAGAAAATAGAAGCGAAACTGGCACAAGTTGCACTCGACAAAATGACTTGAAACCAAAATTAATTTTTGACAAATGACAAGACTATGGCCAAGTAGAAAGCCTTAATACCAAAAAGGTGTTAAGTGAAATTAATTTTAAAACCAAAGAGTTATTAAAGTTAGGCGCCTGTTAGGCAATTGTAACAAGTTTCTAAAGATGTGACAAAGCAATGGCAAAAGGCAGAACGTTTTAACACCAAAAAGGGTAAGATTAAGTTCAAAACCGAGGATAGATTTTAGACAGAAGGCAAGTTTTAAATTGAGTAATAACAAATTTGAAAGCGAAATAGGCAATAGCAAGTACGGTGGTAGAGGGTAGAAACAGTACAATTCGCAAAATTGAGATTTCAGCAATAATGCCATTGCATGGGGTGCTTGGTTTATAAAAGCTTTTTACTTCTTTTTTCTAATCTCTCGTCTATATCTACGGCGCCCAACGTTAGCTGAAAATTTTGACGATTCCTTTGTGTAGATTCGTATTATGATCAGTACGAGAATTCCTCCCATGATCGCTGTTGTAACGAAGAATTTTTGTGCTGAGGTTCCGCTCAACCAAGACAAAAGGTCAATTTCGGCAAGGCGTCCGAAACGTCTTCCTCCATTAGCTGATACAAAACTATTTTCTTTGATAAGTTCAATGGTAGGAACGTACCCTAGCACTGCTTGCAGAGCTATTCTTTTTTCGTCAGTTGAACATTTCACTTTACAGTTTAAATTAATGTTAGAATGAGTAAAGGATAGATAAGCGGTTTCTTCTCTTTTAATGTTGGAACATTGCATAACGAAAAAAACTTCTTTGCAATCTACATATGCTAGTGTATTACCAAAATCGGTGGTACACTGATATTTGATTTTGGCGCCTGCTAAGCAATTGTAGCAACCTTCTAAAAATATAATCTCAATACTGCATATATTAAGGTCGTCAGTGACTAAAATTTGGTAATTCTTGAATTCTGCTTGCAATTCAAATAACCCTAAATTATTTAGGTACGCGTTAACATTTTTTCCTACCGTTTTGAGCATTAATCCAGGTGTGGATAAAGGTAAATTTAATCGAGTATTATTCATTATTTCTTCTAGATCATGATTGTAACAAGAACAACTTACAGTGTTTTCTCCGCTGGAGCATTGGCACATGCTTTGTGGCAATGTGCAATTCATTGTTTTTGCTGATTCATAGCTTGCACATTGAAGGCTTCCAATCATTTCTGCCAGTTTGGCACCTGCCGGGTGAGCCGGAAGTAGTACAGTAGAATGCCCGTCTGTTATGAATTGTTGGTCCAATATAGGTAATGGTGGCGAGCTATAAGATATTAAAGATAATTTTAATCTTTTGAGCTCTACCTTTTGTCTTTTCAATAAAAGAAGTTCTTCCGTAATTACTTCTCCGTGATCTTTTCGTTGTAAAATAATTTTGACATATCTATTCCAGATGGGGCATGTGAACGTTTCGTATACTGTCGTAGTGATGGGCAGTGCATAAATACGATATAGTAAACAACTTGATGAGCATAAAAAACATCCACATCCTGCACAGCCACAAGAAGCTGAGCAATAAGTTCTTCCCAGGTTGTCATTAGGTTCTCCATCGAATTCTGGTAATTTCGACTCTGGTTTAATATCAGCGCATTTTTCTCCGACACATGATCCCGCAGATGCGCATCTTCTCATTGACACTGTTTTCATATTAAAGGATCGTGTATAATATAACGTTCTTTTTTGACACGTCAATCCAAGTTCGGCGATTTTGATCGTAATTATATCTAACGGTTGCTCCATTGGTCCCTGCAGTTGGATGCATACTTCTTGGCCTTGTAGGGCTAAAACCAGCCGAAGTACATTTGATATAGCGCAATTACTGATTCCTTCTTTCGTTCTTCCACAGTGATTCGATTGAGCTTGAATAGAAGTGACTTGAATGCACGATTGAGAAAGCATGATTTGAGTAAAGATAGTGGCTAAAATTAGTTATATGAAACTTTTGATTTAATTTTGTAAATGGCCGATTTCTTTCTTTTAAACTGAAATGATTGGATTCGTCTTTTCTCAAAAAACGTTTTAAATGAAATATGCCTCGCCATACCTTTTTTATTATAAAAAGTCCAAATAGGAAGCAATGTCCTAGAAGAAGAATTATTTTTAACAATACATGCACTATTAGCACGCCTTAATAAATAGCACATATAACTTTGCCATGCCGAAGCACATTGTGGATTAAACAATGCTTTTCTGCAAAAATACCACCGTATGGACTCACATAATGAGTTAGCTGGACATGACAAGCTTAAAGTTTTTACAATTTCTCCATATTGCCAAATTTTTGTATGAGTTACGTAATTTGATAAAAAGATTTCCTTGGGAAGGATTATAGATTCAAAATTCTTGGGTTGTTTTTTGATAAGACAAAAGGGTTCTGCGTAAACTTCGAATGCTAAAACTGGCTCATCACTGAAAAGTTGGATTCCGCCTTGAATGCAGCTTACTTGACATTTAGAGCATCCTTGTTTCTCATTGGGCTGTTTGTGTCTATGATATTGTACTTCTACGGTACCCCAGGCTTTGATTGGAATCTTGTCTTCGTTGTCAACATAATAGACAATTTCGTTATTTGGGTAAAAACAAAGTTGTGTCCCTTCATTTGAACAGTTATCATTGCACAAAAGGCAGACGTTCCCGTTCTTTTTCCTTCTCCAAAACACTGATAATTATCCGTATAATATTGCATATGTAGGAAGTGGAGATTTTCCATTAAATGTGTAGAATGATTATACAGTTCAATTTGATAAAATTTACCAATAAGAATTTTTTCATTGCAATTTTTTGATTTTTTAAAAAAACAAATATTATTTGGAAGATGCTTACTTATTATGTCGCTCGTTTTATCGGGAAGTTTTGATAACTTACCTTCGTAAAAAGAACATGTCTTAGTTCATTTAGGACAAGAACATATGTTAGAACAAATCCCATTTTGTAAGTGTTGATTTATTCAATTCTTCTTAAAATAACAGTAGTTTTGATTGTGTTTCGTTATAACTACTCCGTTTGTTACGCATTTTTGTGAGCTTACGAAGGTTAGCGGTTCTTCAAAGTTGCATTGCTTCGTTGTTGCTATCGTAGTGCCGCACAGGTTTAGCATAAGACATGCTGTGATCCATGTGATTGCAGCGTGCCTTCCAATGCATAGATTGTTGTTTGATTGTGTATATTCGGTGCGTTGTTCATTTTTTGTACGCATTTGGGTTATCTCATCTGTTATTGTCAGTTCTAACGGACATAGATGCATTATTGATCGATCCGCGTTCTGTCCATTGGTCATCTTTAATGTTGCGGTTCTTATTTCTCCATCAAAATCGGCTTTTAATTTTACGATTTTTGCGAATTTCCATTGAGCTCGACCAATATTTTCATCTGATATTGATATACCACCTTTTTTCTTGAGGTCTCATGTCATTAACTGCTTTTCGATTTTGTAAATAAACTCGTTGATTTTCCCGCAGGCTCTGCAAATGATCTCTTTGCCATATTTTCCAAAATTTGTCCGCTACTTTCATTGTAGCATAATATTTCTTCATTAATTGATTTCTTTCATTATTCGGGAGGTATTCCTCATCATCGTTGTTCATCTCTTCCTCGTAGGGTGAATTCAAGTATGCTCCTGGGGACACCAAGTCTATAGGGCGTAGAATCCTTGCATCTCGTTTCTCATTTGATGTATGTTAATGGCCGCATGTTTATGATTCCTTCTGCTTCACATAGAAACGTTTGATATTCTTCTAACATGAGGATCCGTTGTCCGATAGTTTTTTGTAAAGTTCTTTTTACCAAGCCCACCATCCGCTCATAATAGCTCCTTCTCCAAGGGCTCAATGACGTTATGAAATGCCATTTAATATGATGATTAGTTACCCAGTTTTGCATTTCCAGTTGATTTTTTTGAGATTCCCATAATTCCTCCAATAGGCGATGTGCTCCCTTGAATGTGGTGGCGTTATCCGACAAGATGATAGTTGGAATTCCTCTCCCGGAAATAAAACGCTTCAAACAATTAATGAAACATTCTGTTGTTTAATCAGTTACTGTCTCCAGATGTATTGCTCGAGTAGTGAGGCGCGTGAACAATGTTCCCCAAACTTTGATTCTTTGTTCGTTTAATCTAACTATGATGGGACCAAAATAGTCCAATCCCGTAGACTGAAAATCCTGTAGCTTGTAGACCTGTAGCCTTCCATAACTGAGAATAGCGTAGCATGTTTCTGTTTCGTTTCTTGGCTGAGATTCATCCAAATATATATTTTTACAAATCGTGTCACATAGACAATCATCTGCTTCAATCTTGTCCAGGAAGATGGTACTTGATGTTGAAAGAATGGCTCATTTGTTTGAGCTTGAGAGATTGTTATTTTAACTATTTCACAGTGAGAAATTTCGTTTGGAATTTCATAGTTATAATTTAAATTTGGCCAATTTTCTTGAAGTTTCAGCCATTGTGGTCCTCTCCACCATTCCATCTCTTCTTGTAGTCGAGTTGGGGAAAATCTTCGAGTTGGTAATTCATCTGGATTAAGCGATCCTTCAATTCGTCGATAGACAATATTTCTCGCCTGTCGTATTTCTTTGACTCGATTTTCTACGAAAATTGGTAAAGCTTTGTTTGAAGTTATTCGTTGAGAGCTCTTACCCCAATCAGAATTGCAAGTAATTCTAATCTAGGTATAGAAATTTCTTTACATGGATTAAGTCTGTTTTTGGCAAAAACTAACTCAACTACCCATTCCCCTTTCACGTTGGATCTTGCATAGATCACTGTAGCATAAACAATCTGTGACGCATCTGTAAATGCGTGTAATTCCAAGTTCTTACCCATGAGTGCGGTGTTTCTTCTGGGTAGTTGGAAGTCTATGTCTTGTTGCCACTCCTTCCTAATCTCGTTCCATTCTTTCATTGAGGATTCTGTTAATTGCTTGTTCCAGCTTAATTTTGCTTTGCAAATTTTTTGAAAAATTGCTTTACCCTTAAGCGTGACTGGGGTCAAATACCCTAGTGGATCGTATGTTGAGGCCACGTAGTTCAATACTTTCCTTTTTGTCCAAAATTCCGTTTCTGAAATAGGATTAGCTATTTTTAAATATATTATATCCTTTTTCCGATCTCACGTCAGTCCAAGAAGCTTGATTTGTTTCTCTTCTCGCATTAGATTGATGGATGGCAGTTTTTCGGCTAATTTCATTAGATTGGACGCCCATTCCCTCGCATTCATTTTTACCTTTTGAAACATTTTCTTTGTAATCTGATAAAATTCAAAAGATTCTTCAAGATCTTTGGTTCCTGCTAAGAGATTGTCAACATAGGTTATTTATTTTTATTTGTTGAATCCAATTTTTAAGACCATTTGAATCTTTATTGTTTTTCATCAAGGAATCCATGAGATGACGTATGACCGCTCCAAATAAGAAAGGTGAAGATATTACCCCGAAAGCTACTCTTGTGAATCTGTAGATTTGGATGTTATCCAAACTCACCCCTTTTTTCCTGTCTTTCAACCATAATAATCTGGTTACATCTCAATCCTGCTCACGTAATGAGATTTGCAGGTAGGCCTTTTCGATATCAGCAACGACAATATTAGGGTAGGCTCTTGCTCTGAGTTGAATTCCAGCCAGGAGAGGGAGAATAACCGGACCTCGATAAAGGCCTTCGTTGAGACTCATGAATGCTTTATTGCTTTTTGCTGATGCTTCATCATAAACGATTCTTAACTTAGTTGTAGCTTTCTGCATTGTTATCACCGCTTGATGCGGTAAATAATAAATCCTTCCTTGTATTTGGGAGGGTTCAACAGCTTCAATGATTCCTTTTTGTTGTTGATCTCGAATAATGCCATCATACTGCTGTAAAAATTGTTCGTTTTTGCGTAGCCGTTTTCATAGATGTTTTAATCTTCCCATACATATTCCGTAGTTATCTGCGAGCTTTGGTTCTGCATTTTTCTATGGCCAGCCGACTTCGTATCGTCCATCTTTTATTTTTACTGTTTTTTCAAATGCCTTTAATGCTTGGCCATCGTCCTTCTCCCAAGGGGAATCGGTAATTTCAATGTTTTCTAGATTCCAAAAGGCATCCACTCGAACATCAGAAGGTGCTGTTTGTATACTGCCCATTAACATATCTTGTCGATTTTGGAACATTGATTTACCTTTATTTCTAGAGAATTGTGATTAGAATTTTCTTTTCCACTTATAAATGTTCCAAACTTACTCTCAATTTTGTAACATTCATCGGGTAATAGCTCGATCTTGGCCTCTGCGAGAAGATCCCAGAAATAATTAGATCCAATTAAGAGGTCAATTTGTTTTTATTCCTCGTTTGGACCCTTTTTTCCATCATTGTTTTTTCTCTTTAAAGAAGGAGTAATACTCGGAAATGAGTTAACCTGCAGAAGTTTGGTTTCTTCTTTTCCTTTTGCCTGAATTTCATGAACTGCCGATGGAATCAATTCTGGTTTTGACTTTCCGAACGTATATAGACTTAGCGTTTCAGTCAAAATGGGATCAAGCTTCAATTCTTCCTTCAATTCAATTCTGCAATTCTTTTTTCTCTTGGATACTGCGGGTTCCTCACATCAACTTCCGTGACCAGCAAAAGTGTCTCTCCTGATTCTTTTTCAAAATGGCCTCATATGTGATAGTCTCTTGTCGCGTCGGTTGATTTTCTGAAATATTCAAGTTTTTGGGGGACAAATCTTTTGGCACTGACTTGCTTCTGTTCATTGGAGTTCAATTTTCAAAACTGTTTTCTCGTTCCATTTTGGTTCTAAATTGAGTTGGACACATTGCCCTATGATGATTAATACTGCTGCAATATGCACAGGGTCTTCTCAATTTGCAGTCTCGCTTCACATGCCCTTTCCTTAAGCATCTGTAACACAAGTTTAGCTCTCGTACTTTCTTTTGTCTCTCTTCCAAAAATGGATATTTTTTGCACTCATCGTAAAAATGCATCTCATTGCAAAAAATACATGGCTGTTTCGCAACCTGAAACTTTTTATTATTAGAAGATGAGGTTAGTGCTGCTAACAGAGGTCGTCTTTTTGCGCTATCTTTTTGATACGTCGTGCGCTTTGTCTGTCTCGATTCATCTTCAAGTTTCTCTTGTCTTATTCTGTTTTGCCTCTTTCAAATCACCTCTTCTGCTCTCTCGCGAATTGTAATCTGAAATTCTATCTCTTTCAAAAGTTCAGGGATTGTCCATTCTTTGTGGAGGTCTCCTCTTTTTTTCACTTCAATTAAGAAATACACTGGAAATTTCTCCTCGATTTTTAAGAGGATCATTGCCTGATTGACATTTTCTTCTAGCGTTTTGAGCTGCCGCACTAATTTGTCAGTCTCGATGAATTTTTTTCTCAACTCCGGAGTGCTACCATTTGATTTGGGAATAGCTTTTAATTGAGCATATAACGACCTTTTAATAACTGTTGGATCCCCAAATCTGTTTTTTAGGATCGCCTTAGCGTCCTCGTAGTTCCTGTCGACCACGCGTAGGCCTGCAATAGCTTTGAGGGCGTCTCCTTTCAGACAATCCCTTGAGTAGCTGAATTTTTGCCCCGGAGACAACTCTTGTTGATCAACCGCGGCCCCGAAGGCGTTTCAAAATCCTTCCCATTCGAGAGGGTCTCCTTCATACACTGGTAGCGTAATCCGGGGAAGCTTAATACCTTTTGATTGGTTTCGTACTTCTCCACTCTGCCTTTGACTTGATGTCTCCTCGATCAGGAGCTCCCTTTTAATTCTCGCAAGAGCATCTGTGGCAATAATGATGACGCTTAAATAGTCGTTTTCTTCAATAGCGTACTGCTCATACTCTTCCTCTGCCTGCCTCTTTTCATCTCTTTGTAGATCCTGGATCAATTCCTTGTATTCTTGCTCCTTTGCCTCCAATTTGGCAAGTCCGCCTTCAATTTGATTCTTTAGTATTTGTAATCTGGAATTAAATTCCTCCTTGGTGACCTTTTCTTCCCTTTTTAACACGTCGTAGCATTCCTTCAGATCTTCTCTTAGTTTGTTCGAAAATCTCGTTAACCAAATTTCAATAATCTTCGCCATTGCCTCACCCTGGGCACCAAAAAATGTCGTGGCTTTTTTAATTTACCTAAGTTTGTCAGTCTTACTGAAGAATACTTCACGACACTTTAATATATGTGAGATCTCTGCTGCGTTTGGCTAACGATTGATGCTCTAAATTTCATTGACAAAGAATATGAAACCAAATGAAATACGACGTAAATAGAAAGGATGAGATTTACGAACAAAAGGATACAATAGACAATAAAGAGAAACAGAATACCAGCAAGAAAATAATTCATAAAACCAACGACAGATGGATATTATGGGAGCTGAAGCTTTCAGTACGTGAAGTCTTTTTCGACGTGAGTAACCAAAGTCCAATGTTGCCGAGCGAGATAACCCCCTCCTAGTCTTCTCGAATCCTCTTATGCTCGCCTTCATATCAGATATCGCTGAGCCTTGGTGATAGTGGCCAGCTGATAACGATGTACCAAGATTTCCGATGTAAATTTGATTGTAATGTTATGTCTATCATTGAGACATTATATTCTCGGCCATCGTTAATCTTTCACTTGAATATGTTGTGACGATTCACAACACAAGCCGTGTCGCTCTTCATACAAAAGCCATTGTTGAGACTGAGGCCTACTCATGCTTTAATGTCACCAGACAGATCTGCACCAAAAACTTCTTTGGGATCGTCTCATCAGTGCAGAAAGATGAGATCGGCAAGGAATCGATCGACCCACACATGTACTAGCGAATTATGGAAGACAAGACATGGAGTGGCTTTCAGCTTCAAAAAGACCCATATGTTAGCTGCTCCAGTAGAATACCCATGTACTGTTCACTCAGATGGATTAAGACGGGACCTTATTCTTCCAGCAACTTACTTTTAAGAAGAGGTTCATTGCGAAAATAGACAACAATCAGATAATAACCAACTTAGTGACCAGCCACTACTGTACTCCACAAGCAGACGAAAGACAGCACAATTTTTTAGAACTCTCAAAACCTTTGAAAGGTTTGCGGTTTCCAGCTTCAAGGCAGATTTCTGGCACAGCTCACATCAGATAGAGTCTCTATACCTGGGTAACAAGCAACACTGAGGTTTCAAGCCAGTAACACAGTGGAAGCCGAAGTAGAGAAAAATATTTGTTTATTTTAACACCTTTCTGTAATTCTGTAATTTTTTGTCACTTACAAAATTTATAATTCTGATTCTGTTTTAGATTTAAATTAGTCAAAAGATGCGATTGGAATTTCTTGCACAAAATGTGATTCAGAATTGTCAAAATTTGCTTCTCCATTTTTGCTTTTTTTTTTTTCGTTTTTGCTTTAATATTGCAGTAGTTGAGGTGTCAAGTGCTGAATCTTTGAGAACTCCCAGACTGTAGATACGAGGAGGGTTGAGGAAAGAGCTATGTTAGTAAGAATGGTGTTGGATGCCTTCGTTAGCCGTGTTATGGGAACTAACCTTGTCAGTGTTCCTCTGTCCGTCCGGGTACGTTCCTGCGCATCATATAAAGCAATAGTTTTAATTGCACTGATTTTTTGCTTCGCTCGCGTTGACTTGGTTAGATCGCCTGTCACTAGCTTGTGCCACGAGGATCTTTCAAACGGTTGATAATTGTTTATTCTTCGTTTCTTTGAATTTGGCAATGCATCCTCAAACTTGAGTGATTAAACCCACAAAAGGAACATAAAACAATATAAAATAGCAATAATGAGCATTTATTAATAAGGTGTTCGCAAAGATACAAGTACCAAAAAAAAAGGTATTAGCATAAAAAACTAAAATAATTGGCAAGACGGTCAGGTCTATATCTTTCCTGCTATTCATCCATCTGTTTTTTTATACAGTCCACCTCTGCGGCTCCTCTTCTTTCTATTTATCCTCTTGTCCTCTGGTTCAGAAGCTGAAAGAGATTCTCCTTTTTATATGTCCCTTATCTTCCTGATGCTAGTCATCGTCTATGCAAGGGATGCCAGGAAGTGCCTTATCTTCTTCTTCGCCTTTCGGCAACTGGGAGAGCAAATTGCACAAGGCTTTGATACTGTGGATTGCCGGTTTGTAAGGAAAGTTCTTTTTTGTGGAAGTAATTACTCGAATTGTTGTTGCTATTGCCTATGTAAAAATTTGGATTCACCACGAATTTGTTCCGAAGAAACACTTTTAGCGAACTGGTTACATTATCGCTGACTGATTAAATGATCGATTGTGGTGCAGTATCTTCCTAAGTTCTCTTTTTTGAAAATGTTTAACCAGAAGCGTTCCTTAATAAAAAACTGTCCGCATAATTCAGAGCCATAAATGACAATGGTAGGTTGCCGAAATCTTGTCAGCAAGATCTGTTACAGTAATTGAACTAACGTTTCTGTCGGAAATCTGTCAGTAAACGTGTTTTTTTCGAAACAAAAATGATTAAAATTCTTTAACCTTGAAAGGGACCAGAAATATATTTCTTTTACTTTTCTTCTGAAGTAGATCCATAATGGCTTCTACACCTCTATACGAGAACGAGAACTGTTTTTGCCTTTGCTTTCCTACAACAGTCTGCGGAATATCGCTACTCTTCTCTTTTCTTTATAAGAGAAATTATTAAGGCTGTTGTGTTTTTTGTTTCTAACATTATTCCTGGAACTGAATGTACTGGGTAAAAGAAATGCTGAGAGGCTGCAAAAAATGAAGGCAAAACTTGAAGTATGTCATAAATCTTTTTTATTTTTCTGTTGTGTGCTTTATTGGAAGTAAGAAGTGTTAGAGATGAATGTCGAGTGAAGACAGTGGGTGTGCGTATTTGGTGATAAGTGGTTTGATTTTTCGAAGCTTCTTGATCTTAGATTTGTTCGCTGCTTAAAAACCTTATTTTTTCTTAACAGCGATGTCTTACTGCACAGAGCAGAAGCAGAAGGCTAAAGTCAAGGGTGTGCAATGATCACTGCATGTTGCTTCTCAACTTTCCCAGTCATTTCAATTGTTCCTGGTCAATCAATCGATGCTGAGCTGAGAACTCTTGTAGTACTCCCATTATGAAGGTCAAAAATTGTACTCTGCCTGACTTCTCTGTTTGCCTGCCTCCAATAAGTGATGGTTGCCTAAGTAAAACTTTGCAGAAAACAACACTAGTAATAGACACCTCAAAGAACCAAATCTTCACTAGTTTGGCCTGACGCAAAATTCCACTTCTTTAAAAACAGATACCTGATGCTAAACTAAGTCTTTGATATTCATGAAAGAAAATGCATAAAATAGAACTTTCATAGCCAACTTCATTTCGTCACATCTGCTTGCAGAAAAATGGTGTTTTGGCGTTGAAGAAACCTGACTAGACATTAGTAGGCTGAACATGCGAACGTTTGATCTATTTCTGGAAATTCTTTTGAGCTGTCAAGAACAAACGAGTCGTTAAATCTTACTGTGTTTCATCAACACTAAAATACTGTTTTCATTATTTTTTATAAGAACTAACGTGACATAACTAACTGGACAAATCTTTTTGGAAACAGTGGCAGTTTTAAAAGCACGGTTTTCTCTTCCTCTTATCCTCTTTTTAGTTGTCCTCCGACAATAAACAGTTATAACTACTAGTACTGCTTTTTCAATAGAAACTCTTTTTCACCTACAAAGCTTCCGTAAAAGCATCTATTACTAAAAGAAATTTCTGTTTTATAAACAGAACTGATAGCAAAGATTTTAACAGGAATTGCTGGTTGAAAGCTCAATGTGCTGTCAGCAACCAGTATATCGTAAAAGTCTTGGTATCGGGAAATTTCAGTTCTTCAAAATACTGTTATTTCTCTCCTTAAAAGAGTGAAAAATTCAGCGATCAAAGACTTGAATTGGCATTAGTCTGGAAACTGGCAGCCTAAATTCAAATACAAAATTTGCTGAGAGAGTGTGAGAAGAATCTTGCAAAACATTTGTTTAACAGCCGTTTGCAACGGAAGATGGCTTTCAGGTAAGTGATATGGCAGAATTGCAGAGAAATTTTTTTAATTAAAGGTTTTAACTTTATTGTAATGGTTTCAGCATATGCTAAATATATGTCTACAACCTTTACGCGGGTTTTATAATAAAGGTTTTTTTAATGCAATCGACTGTGCAAAACTTTTAGGGCCTAGCTAAGGTTGACTGGTGCGTTGACGCCGATTCCTTTTAAGAATAAAGATTAGGGTGAGAAGAAACTTTTTTTTTTGGCTTTTCTATTTAGTCTCTATTAAAGCTCATTGCTGCTTAGTTGCTCACAGTAAGTATGCTGCGTTTTTCTAAGATAAAGGTAAATTGGTGGTTACTGAGTGGAGAGTAGAGTACAGTTTTAAAAAAATTTCCTTTATCTGAACCAGTAGACCCTTATCATTCCCAGAAAGATATTACTAAAAAAAACATCATGGAATAGCCTGAGTATACAATCAAAAAGTTGGACTAAACAGCTTTAGGAGCCACAAAGGTAAGCTTATTTTCTGCAAATATTTTACGTTTTTTGGTTTGCGATGAGTAGCTGTGACTTGAAGTATTTTCTATGTCTCTTAGGTAAGAAACAATATTGTTGGTCTATTACTTAACAATAATATATTGTGGTTGAAAAAAAAAAGAAGGAAGAGAAATTGTTCAGTAGTCTGTACTCTAAACGTTCAATTATGCGTTACACAATGGGAAGCTTCAATAAAAAATTGCTTTGAAAAAAATGTTATTTTATGCTTTCTGCAATTCCCTCCCAATTCCCTCCTATCAGATTTTTTGCAAAACTTCAAATGCGTTATTTTTTTAGCAAACTAAGGAATTTTTACATCACCCGTTTTGCTGCCACTGTTGTTGCTGTTAAAGGTTTGATGGAAAAGATACAGGTTATTTTCAGCAAAATTGTTTTGCCACTTTTTTTTCTGAATTTGTAAATTAGATGATTCATGTTTGAGGAACTTTGATAAGAAATAAAAAATTGATTTTTTTATTCTAAGCAAGCAGAAGCGAAGAGAATACAGGTCGTTTTTTTCTTAACTAGCTAAGCTAATTAATATAAACAATAGGTTGAATGAAT